CTTTCTTAATCCCTGATAACTTTTCTCACTTTGTAGTCTGCTCTATCTGAAATTAATATAGCTACTCCTGCTTTCTTTTCATTAATATTGACATAACATATTTTCTCCCTCCATTTACTTTTAATCAATGTGTGTCTTTATATTTAAACTGGGTTTCTTGAAGACAACATCTAGTTGTGTCTATATGACCCACTCTGGCCATCTCTGTCTTTTAATTGGTGTATTTAGACTGCTGACATTCAAAGTGATATCAATAAACTTGGATTAATATTTATCATATGCATTAGTGTTTTCTGTTTGCCCTTGTTCTTTGTCACTATTTTTGCCTTTCACGCTTTTTCCTGCTTTTTAGTGTTTTAATTGAGCACTTTATATGATTCAGTTTTTTCCTCCTTTCTTAGCGTATCCATTATATTTCCTCCTCCCCCTCCCCCACTTTTTTAATGGTTGTCCTAGACTTGGCAATATACATTTACAACTAATCCAAGCACTCTTTCAACATACACTGTAACACTTTACAGGTAGTGGATCATATAATAATCCTAATTCTTTCTTCCCATCCTTTATGTCACACTGACATTCACTTCACTCATACGTAAGTGTACATAAGCATAAACAGGTATATATACACATATATAAGCAATATACATAAGCACACAATCTAATATACTGTTGCTATTATTTTGAACAAACTATAACTAGATCAATTAAGAACGAGAAAAAGAAAGGCTTTTATTTTAGCATCACTTATTAATTTTCTGATACTCTTCCCTTCTCTATTTTGATCCCTCAGTACTGGGAAGAACCCCTAGGACTGAGCCCCTCCAGAGCCTTTGCTAAGAGTTATCTACACAAAGCCTCTAGCGCTTGGTCAGTTACAGTTCAGTTTTCCTACCTGGGCGCCGGCTCCTGATTTCCGCTGGTGAGTCTCGGACGTGGGAAGCTGTGACTCCCTGTATTCACCCGTCTCTCCAGTCCTGGGAGCAGCAGTGTTCCCTGTGTGCTCTCCTCTCTTATGAATCCCAGAAGATTTCTTTTTGTTTTTCAGTGTGTTTAGCTTTTTAGTTGTTGTTAGGACATAGTGGCAATTTCCAAGCTCCTTGTATACAAAACTAGAAACCAAAGTAGCCTAAACTACTTCTAAAGTAATTCTGTCAATTTTACCAAGATTTTTTGGTGGATTACTTAATCATAAAAATATGTAAAAGGAACAGAAATTTGCTGAATGAATGCATGGATGACATGTTTTTTCCCCCCAAAAAATGAGAATGTATGTCAAAGCTCTTATAAACAATTGTTTACAAATCTCTGGTGTTACCAAAACTATTAAGCAGGGTGCTTTGCTTTCATGTTCTCGGGGCCACTGCTTAGGGGCTTGCAGCCCGTGCACTGCCCAGCCTGAAGGGGTGCCCTTGCCACGGGCTGCCGCGGTCACGGGGGGCAGGCCGACAACCACATGGAACAGCGTGATTGAGAGCTCATGAGTTCATCTCCTGGCGGCGCTCGGATTCGGCTTCAGCTCTTGCTGTGTGTGTAGGTGTGCCTGTCTCTGTGTTTCTCCGTTTTCTCATCTCTTGATTCTGCTGCTTGTGTGTTTTGATCAGATTACTAAAGGATCAGAAAGATGGTTGAGAGACAGCCAACCAGACAGCCAAACTGAGTAAACACATCCTCCCATAATGACAAAGATATGCTTAAACATAGAATTTTTTTAACATGAAAAAATCACCCCTTTGTAATATAAAAGGGCTTCATGTATGTATATTTAATATATTTTCTCATTTGTTGTTTACCACATCCTTCTTTATGAGCATGAGTAGCTATTTTAAGTACTGTAGCTTCTAAGTTGTAGATTGTTGTTTTTGTACATTTAATTCAATATATTTCTAATGTTTATGAAAAGGAAACATTGATATATTCACTAATGAAAGTCCTGCTCCAAGTTCAACTGCAAAAGAGAATCATTCATTAAGTAAAAGCACTGTGCCCAGCACATAGTAGTCATTCAACAAATGATTTCTTTTCTCATGACTATTTACAATTGTCATTCAGTGAAATAGAGCTCTAATAAGAAAAACAAGATTGTTACCACTCACGTTTTATTTTTAAACATTAACTTTTAGAAGAAAAAGGCACTAGTCTATTGAAGGTATTAGAATTTTATTAAAATATTACTTTACAATATTAGTCTGATCATAAATGAACTTTTTAAAATGTATACTTTCTACAACTAACTTTATTTGAGCCTGACTTTAATAAAGACATAGTGACCAGCTGGGCTCCAAATTTTGCTTGGAATAAACTATCACACAGCCTACAACCTGTCCTGCCTTTTTTTACATGTATACTTTCATGTAGTAGAAAAGTCAACTTTTTAAAAGAACACAAAGTGCTTTGGGTCTTAGTATCAACAACCATTAGAAGCTATGAGAATCGCAACATAATTTTAATAACATAACTTTAATCACACACTGTGGAACTATGAATGTTTCATTAGCATAATTTGCTGCAATTTCCATTACATACCACAGACTTGAATAGTATAAACGTGTATGTACTCTTAAAATAAAAAATAAAAATTAAATTAGATACTCAAGAATTTCCCTCCTGCATGTAATTTTTTGTACGTGCCTTCATTATTTGTATAAATTTTTGCAACTTCCCCAAACTTCAGGCACATCCCCATACAAATATGAGATCAAAAAAATGCATTATAAAGTCAAGTAATACTTTTCAGTATATCTAAGCACTGTTTATACTATATATCCCAATCTGAAGATAAATATAAATTTATGCAATGTAGTTTCATATTTGAGAATATTACAAATCAACTACTTGATTTCAGGTTCCTAATAAAAAGTTATCATAATTTAAAAGAAATTATTTGTATTAAAATTTTTTTAGCATTAAGTATTGTAAATTCCTGTAGGATTGATAGATGAAGACAAAGATACATTATTATTATTATTATTATTATTATTATTATTTTCTTTTTTATCCTCACCCGAGGACAGTTTTGCATTTATCTTCAGATAGAGAGGGAGGAAGAAAGGGAGGAAGAGAGAGAGAAACATCGATGTGAGAGAGACACATCGAGTGATTGCCACCGACACAACCCCAACCGGGGCTGGGGACAAACTGCAACCGAGGTACGTGCCCTTAGCGGGAACAAAACCCAGAACTCTCCGGTCCATGGGCCAATGCTCTAACCACTGAGCAAAGCCAGCCAGGGCCAAAGATACATTATTAAACAAGATACCTTCAGGCATCCCTTTAAGGAATTGAAAAATGAATGAATAACTCAGAAGAGTGAAAATCTTGAAGAGTTATAACAAGGCTCTATGAGAATTAATAGGAGACCCTCAAGTGCTGGACTGATGAATATTCACATCAACTCTGCTCTGTATATTCAGTATATTTCTCACTTCTGAACATACTACTACTTGATAAAAATTTACAGTCTAAGGTATACTTAAGTTTTTACATATTATTTTCACAAATGCATGGTTTAATTTATTATATTTTAGGGTAAACAAGGACAGAGAAAAGAATACAACAGGAAAAATTAAAACAACGCATTTAACTACCTCTCTTTCTTTGATTTGGTACAATTAAAATACTTAGCATGTTTTGAGTTATTATTGTTTGCCAGACAATGTGATGAAAACATTCCTTCCCTCATTTAAAGGACTTAGAAAAAAAATTTTTATTTTATTTTATGTTTTCCATTACCTTTTATCTCCTCTCTGCCCTCTACCACCTCCACCCCTGCAATTGCTCATCTTTTAGATGTGGGAACGAGGGCTTACAGTGGTCCAAGAACCTGCCCAAAGTCATAAAGCCAGAGCTAAGCTTTTAACAGCTGCCTAAATAGACCTGCTGGTGTGAGGGAAAGCAGAGAGCACAGCAGAGTGAGCTGGGGGCTTTGGCGGAGAGTCCAGATGGCAGGCAAGTTCATTTGTACAGTCGTGAGCTATTTGTGCCCATAGACCCTTGAAGAGACAGGCTCTGTAACAGCATTACTCTGCTCTCGTAAGTCTCTCACAAATCTTTCTCGCGTCTGAAAATTCATAGAAAATGAAGAGCCCCTACTATGAATATTCAAGATGTCCCAACATAGTGAAGGCAAATTACATGATTATGTATCTAATTATTTACATCAAGTTATCCATTATATATAATCACATAAAACACTAGTGCATTGCTGTTATATTTGTATGTTGAACTTCTCATTTTAAACAGGGCTTGTAGGTGATTATTTCTATGATGGTAACAAGTTCCACAAAAAACTCTCTTACTTTGACATCTATGTCTCAAATGTATTACTGATGTACCTTGACTTTATTATATTAAACAATCTTTATGTTAGTACTTTAGTACTAAGGAAAAAGTTAAGCCTCAAACTGAGCCAAATATGTGTTCAACAGAATTGCTCTTTATGCTGAAATCAATTAATTACATAAAAGTCTGAGTTTGAAGGAGACCCTCAAACTACAATTCAGATTTTCAAAAAAGCATAACTTTAAAAAAGTATTTAACAACTACTGGTGTATTTTCTAAAAATTAATTTTAACACTTTAATTCTTATAATGCTTTTTAATGTAATATATGATTAATTATGTAATATATGATTAATGTAATATATGATTATGTAAATGATAAAAACCTCATTCTTGGACTTAGTGGGGAAACATGTTCTCATTTTTTTAAACAGGCTTTTGGAAGAGTGTGTTAAGAAAGGTGCAGTATATATAACTAACTAAAATTAACTAGTAACCTCTTCTGGAGATCCAGGGGAGAAAACCTATAAGAATATAAATTTACTTAAATTCGGCACTACTTGTACACAAGTAAAAAACTGATGTTACAGTTTTTAAAAGGGCTTATTTCCTACAATCTAGTTTCATTTCTTTATGTAGTACAAAAACGTATGCCCCAGACAATAAGATTACAAATGTGTTCGTGTGCATAACAAGGTTCAACTAGCTTCCATTTTCTTTTTAAAATGAAGACAATTCAAAGGTTGAGAAAACCCTGAATTTGGTTAAATAATTGAAGTAAATATAAGAGAGGGTCACCAGGATGTTTTTACAAAGGCCCAATACAGGCGTGATAGTCCCCAGGTCGATGACTAAACCCAGTCTGACAAAAATAAAGGGTAAATCCTGCAGGACGATGCCCAGGGAGTTCAGGAGAGGGTTCTGGGGAGTGAGCACCATTCGAAGGAGGGAGATGAAGCTGAAGAGATAGACTGGGAAGAGCCAGGCTGACTTGTACACGGCGTGGTGGCCGGCCACACGCACCATCTCGATGGTGTCGGCCCACACCACAAAGCTCCACGCGAAGATCTCGGCGCGCACGTCCCGCCGGGACATGGCTCTCAGGATCCCGGGCTGGAAGGAGAGCTCCTGGGGCCCCATCAGCCGGGGGGCAGGGCCCTGTGTGGTGGCTGCTGGTGCCAGTGATGCCGGGGTCCTCGGGGCCGGCTGCGGGGTTGCAGGGCTTCCTTCATTTTGCCTCCCGTCACGCGTCACAGTTGTCACTTGTTGCAACGTGGCGGCATGGATGCGTCTGTCTTCATCACCTGCAATACGTTTATTTACTTATTTAGTTTTAAAAATTGTTTTTAAATCTTAAATTTTATATAATGACAATTTTTTTTTCATTTTAAAATTTTTATTTCAACTTAACAGTGAAAAATAGAAGTGCAAGTGTTCTCTTAGGTGACCTCTGTGGAACAGGTGGAACTTGGAGACCCCAGCCGGGAGCAGACTGAGAGAGGCAGACAGGGCTCTGCACGACCTCGGATGTTTCTGGATATGGATCCCAAGTCATTTCCACCATTTCACAGTAATGGCCATTATTGGCTACTGAGCTAAGCTCTTTCATACATTGTCTCATTTAATCCTCAGAGAAACAGAGACACAGATCACTATCCCATTTTCTAAACATGGAAACGGGGGCCCGAGAGGTAGAAAGACACTCACATTCAGATACACAGTTAGTATGAATGAGCACAGCAGGAATGGACACCCAGACCTGTTTGACCCAATACACAATCTCTTAACTTTATATGGCTATTACCTATCTAGCAGCAATACACCATGTGCTAATTATAAACATGCAGATACCATCAAACCAAATGAATCTAAGTCAACAGTCCAGTCAAAGTACAATGGTCCAATCTTGTCATTTTATGAGAAGCCCACAGAATTCACTACAACTCAGATCTTCAGGCTTGGAGTTTGGTGCTAAGAGAGAATCTATTTAACCATGAGAAGGTCTTAGTGACGGGTAACACTTTGAATCTGAAATGTTAAACCTATATGCCCTATGCTGTATTTTACATCCCCGTGAATATTTCAAAATGAATACAAAATAATATTGAATGTAAACTGTAATTTAAAAAATAAAACAAAATTAATATTTTAAACCTGGTTTTCCCCAAAGTTTTTAAACTTTGGTTAGACTAACACATCTTATTTGTGGCCACAGACTATGCCTGGTCAACACACCAGTCATCTCAATAAGTAAGGCATTTTCTCATCAGCATTGCAGTGTGTGTGTGTGTGTGTGTGTGTGTGTGCGCGTGTACCTCTCTGTGTGCATGTGGGTGTTGAGATTGGGGGATTATGAAGAGATCCTCGAATCTCAAGACTTACTAACAATGTTAATGGTATGGTTTTTATACATGAAAAAAGTACAGCACATTATTTTTTAAACATTTACCCAGAACTCAAGCACCATTTTTGTTGCTACGAATGTATCAGGCCTTGACAAAGTTTACTTTGAATATGATGATAACACAAAATTCAAAGGGAGTCATTAGACTGAATATCTATAAAGGTTAAAGAAACGAAATCAATAAAAATTTGTTGAAATACATGGAGCTGAAGTAAAAGCATTTAAAATTATTATGATTAATGAATAATAAAATGTCTAGTTACTATAAATAGGTATTGTTTTAAGGACAAATAAATCTCAGTTTTCTTTTTATACAATTAACTATTTTAACATTTTAAATGTGAGTTGAGTATATTTATAAACTAAAAGATAACTGAAATTCTTGATAAAATATTACTTCTGGTATGAATCATTCATAAATAAATGGTAGGACCCATGACCCTTAGAAACATTTATCAATCTTCAATGTCACTATGGCATTAATGAGTAGCATTTTAATACATAATACTCAAGTAAGAGGGAAAATTATATACTGATTGCTATTATTTTAATGTTCACACAAAATCATCTCTTTTAAAATGCAGACACCCACTGGCATCAAATTCTCATTTTGTCAAAAAGATGCCACTATAAAAAATGTTTCTGGGAGTATGTCACATCCTAGAGAACTCTCCTTCACCTCTTAGAAGATAAAGCTGTTTGATGAAAATCCAAATTCCTTTTTCAACATGTAGAACACAGTGTATAATTTGGGCTTTTGAGGATGATTGCCAATTCAGCATTGTTTCAACACCAGGAAGTGGCGATCTAAGAAGTGACACATTAACACTTTTAAACAGTCAGTAAAAACTGTAATATCTGTAGATATGAGCTGTTAGATGTACAGTGAATTCTTAGCTAGCGTCAGCTTCTAATGAAATGATAAAGCCCCAATCCATGTATATTTGGTGAAATCCGAGCCCAGAGTTTCCTCTCTCTCCTCAGCTCAACAGAGACCAGTTTTGGTCTGAGGAGGCAGGGACTCTGTGTCCTCTTTCCAAGTGAGAAGCACTAGAACTCTTAACTGGACAGCTTTGCTGGCCTCTCAGAGGGCAAGATAACCTTGGACAAGTCAAGAAATCATTTGGTCATTAGAAGGACCAGCAAATGTATCCCCAGGCAATGTAAACTTTCTTGTATTTAATACTATTCCCCTTGGCTTCATGTTTCCCCTCAGTTCCCTCTGAATTGTTATTTTTTAATCTCCACTGACAGCTAGACTTCTTTTTGTTATTGTTGTTAGCTGTTAGTGTTCTATTCGGGTAAAACAATGTTGATTTGTGCAAAATCCATAAACGATATACGCAAGAAAAAAGAGATCTATTCACTTCCTTAGAGGTTCACATTGCCCTATAAAAACTAAAAATAGCAGCCATTCTGTGCAGTTCCCCACACCGGGCGCCAGCTGCCTAAACAACTTTTTGCCTTCACTGTGCAAGCTGAATAATTAAGGAAATGTAATTTCGATACAACAGATAAATGTTTACGTAGGTAACTCATGCCTATTTTGCTTTATTATTTCTTTATAATGATGCACCTCTGTCTCTAACTCGTCTCCCAGAAGCTTGCAGAGAAAACCTAAGTACAACATAACAAATCAGGAGTGAGGGCTTTCCTAGAGCGAGCATGTATTCCTCTTGCAAAAAAAAAAAAAAAGAGGAATAAAAGTTACTTAAATAAGAAGAGAGAATGAGAGAAGAATCACAAGGAAAGTCACCTACAAACAGGACAGAAATGCAGCTGATACTAAGAAGGCACTACTGATGCTCCCAACTGACCAGCACGTTGCAGAGAGTGGTACACTAAGCCTCGACTGGGCATGGAGAAGGACACAGCAAGTCGTGTGGAAACAGTCCCCACCTCCACCGCCCAAGTCTCCTGTGATCACCTCGATAAACACAGAAGAATACATTGTGGCAGGACTTCAAAGGAAGGTCAGTTCTGTGATGAGACTATCGCAGTGGGTCTGAATTGACAGGGTGTCAGGTAGGCTCAGCTGAGAAGTGACAGTTCAGCAGAGACATGAAGAATAAGTAGGAATGAATCAGGTGAAGAATGGAGACAGAAACTTCTCAGGTAGCAGGAAGAGATTGTGTCAACATCCTTTGTCTAGAATGATTGAATGGGAGAGCGTTTGGAGAGGGGCTGGAGCAGCTGAGAGGGAAGAGGAGAGGAGGTAATATTTATTCAGTTATTTCTGTATTCCAGGCACTGTTCTTAGCCCTTTCAATGCATGACTTCACTTAATCCTTACAAAAACTTTATGATGTACTTACCATAGCTTCTCATTTTAAAGATCAATAAACTGAGTCATGGAGAGATGAACAGTTGTTTTTAAGGTCACACAACTGGCAAGGAGAGAGAGCAGACTGTAAACCCCAAACCCTTAACCATTAGACCACACTGGCTGTGGCTGAGTCAGACTACGTAGAACCTATGGGCTATGATAAAGATTTTGGACTTTATTCCAAGTTCCACGGACAGCTGCTGAAGATGAAGGGACTAGGTGTCAGAGAGCCCAGAGAGGTCATGGAGACACCAGCAGAGAGGCTCTTGAGGCTGTCAGGGGAGCTGACGAGAAAGGAGATTGCTTCTCAATTCATAACAGCTAGAAGATCAAATTATAAAATTATTCAGAAAAATTCTGGCTGGTCTTGATTAGGAGTCCCCAAAATCAATTTTTTTCTGAGAGGAAAATGTTCCAGAAAAAGTTAAATGCTAATGATTTAGACATGACCTTCTAGGGAAAAAAATCTGGAAAAGTAGAAAATGAACAGTCTTATATAAAATATATTTTAAACATTAAGCACAGAAAGTACTTTTAGATATAGTACTCTTAGAGGATAAGAGAAAATATGATATATTAAAATAGACACTAGGGCCCTAGCTGATTTTGCTCAGTGGCATTGGTCCACAGACCAGAGAGTCCCGGGTTCGGTTCCTGCTAAGGGCACGTACCTCAGTTGGAGTTTGTCACCGGCCCCGGTTGGGGTTGTTTGGGTGGCAACCAGTCAATGTGTCTCTCTCACATTGATGTTTCTCTCTCTCTCTTCCTCCCTCTCTCCACCCTGCTGTATCTGAAGATAAATGCAAAAAAAAAAAAAAAAAAAAAAAAAAAAGTCCTTGGGTGAGGATAAAAAGAAAAAAAAAAATAGACACTAGGGAAAACTGTAAGCATTGTTATTTTGACACTCCCCACTGATTGAAATCACTGCACTGTGTTATAGCTTGTTTCCTTTGGGGAGCATATCTGAGGTCTTTAAGACAAGTAACATCACTGCCAAACAATAAATGTGGAACCCAGCACCTACTTCTCAGAAGGAAACAGTCAACATCTGTAAAGCATTTCAAATGGTGCCTGACACCTAGAAACAGCCCTACGTATGTTAAATAAATAACAAGTAGCAATTGCTAAACAATTGATAGTTTTAACTGAATTAGAACAGAGTAGACAGTGTAAGCGCGCTATGAATAGTAAGAGTGGTTACAGCTTGTTAAACTTTGGTTCTAACTACACTGTTACCCAGCATCTTGCATATCTGGAGGTCAAAAAGTTTGAGAAACAGTGTCACACTACAGAGCCTTGATAAAGTCGTGAGATTCATTCTTGTATTTGCCAGTTGACATCACAAAGAAAAATGCCACCCCACAGATACACCCTGTGCAGGCAGAGAGCCTGCTGTGGGCATCGCTTTCCAATCCCGTGATCAGTATTGAGTGGCGTCACCCGATAGCTTGACCGTGGCCACGGTGAGGGTACTCACACCAGAAAACCTGACAAATTATATAAATCGGGGCTTTCTTTCTGGCGAGAGAGACCGTTTTTTAAACATTGATCAGCACTGCTGCTTGTGCTCAAAA